TCACTGGTGAGGCAGCCCTGGGCAGATGGAAAACTGACAAATGATCAGGATGAACACTTCAGGGACTTGAGGTTCCCTCCCAGCCCCACAGACAGCCTGGAAGGGGGAGGGGGTCCCGAGAATATCAGTTAACACAAGACCACAGAAGGAGGATCAAACCTGAAAGGGCCCTTCCAGATCACCATTAAAGATAGATCTCCCCATTTTTATAGAAGAAATGAAGGTCCAGGGAATTTAAGAGGCTTGTTGCAAATCACAGCTGGTTAATAGCTAGGACTAGGACTCTAGTGTCCCCCACCCCACACATGACTTGGTTCCTGGTGTCAGGCTGCTCTCACATCTAAACAGTAATGAAGGATACAGAAAAAGGGAAGGAGGCAGGGGCCAAAATGGTCAGGGGCTAAGGCAGTGAAATCTGATAAGTTCTTGGAAATAAATTTTATGTTACTTTTAGAAAATATGTGATAGTTTTCTGAATTTTCTCTACTGCCAAGGCTTTGAGGCCAGACAGACATGGATTCAAATACTGGGTTTCTAACCAATCAACTTTGACTTTGAACTTACTGAGCCTTGGCTTCCTCATTTATAAATGAAGATAACTAATATCTACCTCATTTGATCAAAGTGTCTGTTAAATGACAATGTATTAAAAAAAATTCTCACTCATGCCAGAGCCTGCATGCAGTATACACCTCATATATAAAGTCTAAGAATGCTAAACACAGATTCGGTTCAGAGGCCACCTGAATATGTGGAGGTAGGAGGAAGATGAAGTTATAGGGGGACCTTTTTTTTTTTTTGGGGGGGGGGGTTCAACTCCATTATCAATATTTTCTTTCTTAAGGCAGGTGCAGGGTTTATGAGTTTCTTTCACTATTCTTCCTATCATTGTATTTTAAATAATTGTTTTAAATGTACACACAGCAAGCAATTAATAAATGAACACTATTATTATCATTATCACCCAAAAAGTACTTTCTCAGCTCTTCCTTCACTGTGGCACACTGTGCCAGGCACAACAGGGGACACAAAGTAAGATTCAGCCTCTAATCTGCACTAAGGCCTCCAGCCTTGTCAGGGTGACAGTACCACCTTACAACTATGATACCTGGCAGAACACCATGAGAGACCGAGGGGCAAAAAGAAAGAAAGGGGACAGCAGAACTCCTTAGGAGACTTTCTGAGTTTTCATCAGAAAGGTAGCAATGAAGATGGGCTTTAAGCAGCAGAGTGATAAGAAATAGGGAACAACAAAACCCATCTCCATCAACAACTACCGCCCTGGCAAAGGCACCAGGGGACACCAGCTGGATCAGGTGACTGTAGGCAAAGAGACACAGAATGCCAAAGCAGAGGGGAAGAAATGTGAGAGAAGAGAGGTACCTCAGCACAGAGGTACTCCACATCACGGAGAAAAGAACAGCCAAACCTTTCTCTTTTAAGTTACAAGGGAGCAAGTTCCATGTAATTATACTGGACAGAGGCCAGCTTTCAGGAGCCCAATAACTACTCAAAGGAACGGATGTTACCTAAATGGGCCTGCCCCACAAAGGTCAGGGGTCCCTTAATGCCATCTCAAGCATAAGCTTTTAGGGCTGTGCTTCTTGAAGGCTGTCCCCAGACCACATTCTGCCAACCCACCTGGTATGCTTAGTAAAAGGCAGAGTCCCAGACCTGGAAGTCACAATGTTTGGGATGGATCCCAGAAGCTACAGTTTTAGCAAGTTTACCAAGTGATTCCAGAAAAAAAAAAAAGAAAATGGTGGTGAAGAAGGAGGTAGGGGGGTCAGTTGACTACTCTTTAAAGACATCTGTGTGTGACACAAAGGACAGCAGAGAACGGCAGTTGGAGGTCATGGCAATATCAAGATGGGCTATTACTCAGGGGACCCCTCAGAATATTTCTAGAGAAAGGGAGAAGAAAAACCAGCCAGTGGGTGAGAGAAACACAGATGCACTTCAGCGAGGTACAAGCTTCCCCTACAGTTACAAGGTTCCAGAAAAAGCAAAAAGATCAAGGTCAAAAATGGAAGTGGCACAGTCAGACTGGCAAAGGAGCCCAGACTAAGAGCCGTTTTTTGTTTGTTTGTTTGTTTGTTTTGTTTTGTTTTTTTCCTGAACAAACAAGAGTCCCTGGTGTGTTCTGAGAAAGGACTGGAGATGACTGTGCATGCAGATGACAAACATCATCTCCTCTCACCTCTTCCAGGCACTGCTGCTCTGGGGAGCAAAATAAAACCTGAAGCCATTCTTATAGACAGTAAAGGATTTAGTTAAGGAGGAAAAGATGTCTTTACAAACCTTCTTTTTATAAATGAAAACAAAAAGACAAAGAATGAAGTTCTCAATAAAATAATAATTCAGACCATCTGGCCACATGACTTCACCACATCAATATTTTAAACTAGTTTCTTTGGAAAACAATATGAGAGTCCTCAAAAATTAAATACATTTACCATACGACCCAGCAATCCCACTCTTAGGGCTTTACCCCAGGCCATTGAAATCATGTCTATACAGAATCTAAAATGAATGTTCACAGCAGCATTATCCATAACTGCCCCAAAGTGGAAACAACCCAAATGTCCACCAACAGATGATGAGATAAACAAAATGTGATCTATTCATACAATTGAATATTATTCAACCATAAAAAGGAATGAAGCGCTGATATGTGCTACAACAGGAAGAACCCTGAAACCACTCTACTATGTAAAAGAAGCCAGGCAAATGGCCACATACTGGATGATTCTAAGTAATGTCCAAAATAGGCAAATCTAGACTGCCAGAAAGCAGACAAGTGGATGGTAGGTGAAGGGAAGGTGGAGTGGGAAGTGACGGCTAATAGATAACAGTGATTCTTTTATGGGTAGTGAAAATGCACTAGAATTAGACAGAGGTGATGGTTGCACAATTTCATGTATATACTAAAAACATACACTCAGTTGGACACTCTAAACAGAATAAAAACAAACTAAAAAAAAAATAGGATTTGAAACCAGGCCCTCAGATGACTTACATAGGAAAGAACATATAGATACCCATCTGCACACACCCTCACCTACCACTATTCCACATGTCCATTAACAAGCTGCTCTTTGGAAATAGTTATGTTGAAATGGGGCCAGAATGACAGGAAACCACGAGACCAGTCCACTCATATTCACATGCCCGGAATAACAAAAATAATTAATAATAACTAACATTTATTGAGAGTTTATTATGTGTCAGACACTATATTAAGCACTTGACATGTATTGTCTTCCTTCATTTCTCACTGCAATCCTTTGAGGTATATATATACTATTATCGTTCCATTTTACAGATGAGGAAATTGAGGCACAAATGAGTTTAACTTATGCCAACTCATCCAGGTGGGTGACTCATCCTGGGCAATGTAATTCATTATTACCATGCTATGCTGCTTCATCTGAAACGATCTTCTTAAAAATCACCTGCAAAATTCACTGACTTATATCACTGTAAGTAAGCCAAGACAGGAGATCTAGATTTTTAAAACGACCAAAACTATTAACCTAAATAGCAAGCCTAGACAGAACATCAGAAATATCCAAAGATCTGACTATGAAACTCAGTTGAAAGCTACACTTCATATTAACTAAGAGCACTGACAATTCAAGTATATGCTCCAAGCATGAAATTCTAGATGGTTACCTTCTACCTTTTAAACTAGGAGCAGATGACACAGTTTCTCCCTTGGAGTACCAGTAGAAAAAGTAATCAAAAATACTATGCATTGTGCATATGGCTCTGTGTGTGTATAATACACATGACATACATGTGTACTCACTAAACAGGGAGGAGCAGATGACAAATTCTAAGTTCTCAGTCATAGGAGAGGAAATGATGTCACATAATCAAAGAAGACAACTTGAGGAGTCCTTGAAAAATCACATCTAGGAAGAGGCGGCAAGGCAAAAGGTCACCACACTTGTGGCAGGGACCATCAGAAGATTGTTCTTATAGTGGCAAGAAGTAGTATGTTTAATATACTGGAAAATAAGAGCAGACAGGCAGGAAGGGGTTATGTAAGATCTTCAAAGTCCAGGGAAGTGTTTCAACTTGATTGAGTTAAAAAGGTAAGTCATGATTTAGAAAGAGTTGTGAAAGCGTTGTTATATTATCTGCACACTTCATAAAGAAAAAAAAAAAAAAACCCTGGCTTGAGTGTTTGCTCACCCAACCCTGGAATTCCATTTTATAAACTGTTTCCTAATTTCATTTTAAATATTCTGTTTCTGTCCTATCTACCCCAGAGGCATGACCTAGTGGAAGCTTAATTTCAGCCAACTCAAGATGCAAAATCATGGCTTAAAAATCACAGCCTGAACAAAATCATGCTGTAGGGTTTCTTCACAAAGCCTCTTAGCACATAGCTAATGACCATTAAATTTCTTCACATCTTATAGCTTAAGGTATAATGAATCAACATCCTAGTGAATAGGCTATCTCTGACACAATATGCATCATCTTTTTTTTTTTTTTTTTTTTTTTTAAATGTGAAAAACCTTCCTTGGGCTCGGTCACTAAAATTGTCACCATCTGGTAACAACTTTGAATGGAGAGGTATCTAACTTTTTGGCTGAGTGATACACAAATCCACAGTTGCACACTGCACTGTAATATACCTATCAAACTCCCAATCGCGAATTTTACAGGACTTAATAGAAACTTCTCCCGTACTCGTCTGCCCAAGCACTGCACCCGAATTCTTGGCACTTTCCACAAGTATCCACTGGGTCTCCAAGAATCTGTGTTTTCTGGCCGCCAACAACAACAAAAAGTCCGGCTCAAAGATCCTGCGAGTGTAAACATTCTTACCCAAGACATCCCGTGAGGGACCCAGGGGCTGAATCTGCGCCTCAGTGCGACCTTGCAGCAAGCCCACCTCCCGGTTCAGACCCGCATACAGGTATCCTCACCCCGGGTGCCCGGCTGCGGCCAGGCGACCCCGGATCGTGGGCAAGCGGTGCACCCACCTGACCAGGGGCTCCTTCTCGGGCAGGGCAGGCTCGTCCAGACACTTGCACGGGCAGCAGCAGCACGCGGTCCGCAGCCAGTCCCTCAGCCCCATGGAGAGCAAGGGTCCCCTCGGGCGCAGGAGTCTAGGAAGAAGTCGCCGCAGGGAGCGATCGCGGCCGGAGCGCGCGCCACCCGGCCGGCGTCCAGGTGCGGGGACAGTGGTGGCCCGAATGTCGCACGCCGGTCCGTGCGCATCACGCCGCGGCCAGGACGCGCGCGAGGGTGGAGGAGGCGCTCCACGGCCCGGAGACTGCCAGGCGCGCGCCTCCCACCTCTTGCGTTTTGTTGGGGGCGTGTGTTTTCGTCGAGCTCCCCCGCACCCCACCTCTTTTTTTTTTTTTTAATTCCCCGGGCGCAAATTGGGGCGCATGCGTCGCCGAGATGCCCGCTGCCGCCCTCTAAGGAGGAAGTCGGGACTCCAGCCAGGCGGCAGAGTCCAAGCGCAGCGACAGGCTGGCTGCAGGTCGGAGGAGGGCAGCGAGGGGAAAGCCCTGGAGCCACAGCGCAAGAGGTCCGCGGAGTCTATTCATACTTTTTATTGGCTTCACTGAGGGAGGAAATAAAAGCCTCCACCCTCCCCCCTTCAAAGCAGAGTTTAAGGCATATTTTTAACACGTCAGCCCCATACAGCACAAATTAACAAAAGACTCTGGATGGATGCAGTATAGAGGTGTTTTTTGTTTTGTTTTTCAAATGACATATTGACATCTGATTTTTTAAAAATGTTTTCAAAACTCTGGTTCTTGAATAGCCCCTGAGGAAAAGGGGGAAGGGCTCCAGAGCTGTTGTTATGTGTTTATTTATACCTTAAAGTTATGTATAGATGTATTCTTTATGCTCCTCGTATAAACTTGTTAAGTATATGTACACATATCCTTCTTTTTTGTCCAAACAGCAACATATTCCACATATTTCACTCGGGATGTCATGGTGACTTATCAGTGAGTGTGTATCTTTCTCTATGTCAATTTAACAATTGCATGTACTTCAGTCTTAATGAATGCCCCCAGGTTTTCCCCAGACTCCTTCTGATGGACATTTCAATTAATTCCAAGCTTTTGTTATTAAGGAGATTTCTTGGATAACTGGAAATGAAACCACCATTTGACTCAGCTATCCTTCTCCTGGGCCTATACCCAAAGGACTTAAAAACAGCATACTATAGGGACACAGCCACATCAATGTTTATAGCAGTACAATTCACAATAGCTAAACTGTGGAACCAACCTAGATGCCCTTCAATAGATGAATGGATTTTTTAAAATGTGGCATATATACACAATGGAATATTACTCAGCAATAAAAGAAAATAAAATCATGAATTTTTGCAGGTAAATGGATGGAGTTAGAAAAGATAATGCTAAGTGAAGTTAGCCAATCCCAAATAACCAAATGCCAAATGTTTTCTTTGATATAAGGAGGCTGATTCATAGTGGGATAGGGAGGGGGAGCATAGGAAAAATAGAGGAACTGTAGATAGGGCAGAGGGGTTGGAGGGGAAGGGAAGGTGCATGGGTTTAGAAATGATGGTGGAACATGATGACCATTATTATCCAAAGTACATGTATGAAGACATGAATTGGTGTGAATATACTTTGTGGACAACCAGAGATATGAAAAATTGTGCTCTATATGTGTAATAAGAATTGTAATGCATTCTGCTGTCATATATAAATTAAAAAAAAAAAAAGACAAACCTGCAGTGAACATCCTTGAACTAATACATTTAGTCATATTCTTAAAAATATCCATTGAAGTCATGTTTGGTGGTTGAATTGCTGTATCCTAAGTAAGGTGCCTTTTTAATTTTGATGAATCTTGCCAAACTGCTCTCCAATTAATAATCCCACTATACACTCTGACACACAAAAGTATTTCATTACATCCCCTGCTCCCACCAATATAAGGTGCAAGCTTATTTTTATCTTTGCCAATTTGATATATTGGCAGATATTTAATGAACATCTGTTATGTTCCAGATGTTTGTTTTAGGAGGGGGGATATGGCAGAGGAGAAAGTAAACAAAAAGCCCTACTCTAATGGATTCAACGTTTTAGAGGGAGTTAGACAAATGAAACAAGTAAATTATTTAGTATGGAAGACAATGGTATGTACTGTGGATTAAAATGAGTGTGTGTGTGTGTGTGTGTGTGTGTGTGTGTTTGAAGGCAGTAAGTGGGGGAGGGACTGGTGCCTGCAATTTTAAATGGGGCGGTCAGAGAAGGCCTCCTTGAGGCTGTGACATTTCAGCAAAGACTTGAAGATGAACAAGCTAGCCATGATGTCCAGGGAAGAGTATTTTAGGCAGAGTGAAGGCCATGTGCAATACCCTAGAGAAGAGAGAATAAACTATAGGGTGCCTGAGAAAGAATAAGGATCCAGGGATCCAGGAGACAAAAGGGGCTTGAGGGAGAGTAGTAGGAGACAGTAGAAGGTTAGACCTTGTAGGGCATCACAGGCACTCTGGATTTTGCTGTACGAACTGAGCAAACCACTGGAGCACTTTGAATAGAGGGAGTGACCTAGATGGCAAGCAGCTCCATTAGCTGCAGTCTTTAGAAGAAACTGGGTGCCAAGGACTATTGTGGGGAGATGCATATGGAGCCCATCACAATGGTCCTGGTGACAGATGCAGTGGCAGTATGCAGGGCAGTAGCAGTATTGGTAATAGGAAATGGTTGAACTCTGAATAGAATTTGAAGGTAGAACCAAAAAGATTTACAAAAGACAGAGTCCAAGGTTTGGGGTTTACAAACCATTAAGGGTGAAGCGTCATCGTCATCGACTGAGATAGGAGTATGGGAGGAGCAAGTTTGGAGGGCTGAAGAGGAAGGAAGAGAATTAATTGTCAACAGTGTCAATGCTCATGGGTAGTGTATTATGTTTAAAAGTGCATTGCCATTCATAGATTTTTGTCTTGTTCTGGCGACAGTATGAACTTGTAGGGACTTGCCAAGTGCATATTCATTAAGAGGCTACTGAAGGATAAGGAAAAATAATAGAAGGTCCCTATGGCCTCTGACTTGGTTGCAGAGACAGGATATGAACCCATCATGAAATGTTAATGGGATGTAACAGAGTATCCACTGTCACCAGACTAAACAGGGCTTGGGTATCAAGTCCAGCACCAAGTCATTCATTACTTGTAACCAGTGCCTGATTAGAGGCTGAGAATTGTTCTAGAAAACAATCTTCCTACTGCCTTGAAAAATCTCTTTGGAAAAAAACAAAAAAAAAAAAATATATATATATATATATATATATATATATATATTCTGAAATTGGATTTTGGATTTCAAGTCAATCCTCCTAGGTTCATGTAGACAATGGTTAAAGGGCATTGCCAAAATGTGAATTCAGCTAGCAAGAAGATGGACTGTAGGGTCTGACAGATGCTATTAACTGACAGAGTTGGATCTGTTCAGAATGGAAAAATTAGAGAAGCATTCAGCTCCTTTATAAATTTTGACTTTTAGATAAGTCAATTTTTCTGAATCTCAATTTTCTAGTCTGTGAAATTGAGAGAACAGAACTAGATCTCTTAGGCACAGCTGTGAGACTCAAATGAGATCCTTTAAAATCTCTAGAGCCTGTAGAAATATCAGAATTCAACAGAAATTATTGAACTAAATCAACTAGGACTGACTGTCAGGGAAAATGGTCCTTACCATAGTTAGATTGCATATACTGATATTTCTTTTCATATTCGACCTCTGCTATGTGTGGGCACCTCTTATGTGGTCTGTTTCAGACAGACTATTCTCAGAAAGCCATAGCGCCAAGTCTATTTAATAAATTTGATCAAGAGCTTAATGCCCTGCCCTACTAAGAATCAGGTCTAGTGTGTACCTACTCTAACAATTATTAATATTTTTCTTCCTAAATTAGTTTGAATTTTAAAACTTATTAATAAAACATTTCTCCAAAATACTGAAATATTACTGTTCAAGTTCCCTTTATTATCTACAATCCTGATCCTCTTTTTGCCCCTCCCCAGGGTAACTGTTATTACCAGTATGTAGAACCTTTTTTCTGGACACACATTTGCATATGTGCCCACTGTGGTGTACCCTCTATTGTATGTGCTATTATTATTGGCAATGAGGTTTTTTGTGTTAATGCAAAAGGTATGCATGCATCTGTATACAAGCTTTATTCAACTTAATAAAATGTCTTAGAGATCTGTCCTTGTTAGTTACCTGTTTTTTTTTTAAACTGGTGTGCATATTTATTAGTTTTTTAAGGATTATCATATCAGTGTTATTCACAGTATTCATCTTCCCAGAAGTATTCAACTCTTTTTCCTTTTTTGATAAAGTAGGCCGTGGATAAGAATATCAAGACTGCCAAACTCTCCAGCTTCAGCTCTAGGTAGCTGAGACCATGCTTTGACAACCCCACTCTCTGCTTCAGACATCATTCATGGAGAACACTGAGCTTCCTTTTTTTTTCTGTTTTTTTTTTTATTTAATTTAATTTAATTTTTTATTATTATTTTTTTTGTGTGTGTGTGTGTGAGCTTCCCTTTTTTAAGAATGCTGCTAGATCCTTCCTTCTGCATATTGACGCCAACACCACCAACCACATACAGCAGCTTCTGACATTTACCAAGAACCCTGGGCACCTGATGTTGGGGGAGTAGACAATCCCCTGGGGCAACCAGTGACTCACAAAACCTATCAGCTGCTTGTTTTCAAGGCAGAACTAAGAAATAGGCAGGCCCCTATTTTCAGATTTCTCTATAGCAGAGAAAATTCTAGAGTCTGCTTTGAAAAAAAAAAAAAAACTAGTGTAGTTTGGAGTCCTCCCACCCAACCCACCCACTTTTAAGAATTTATTGACGGCTTTTGAGAGTTAGAGAGAAATGCATACGCAAGCAGGAAAAATTAGAAAACAAAAATATTTAAGCTCCCATGCCACACCACAGATGCATTCTACCAAAAAGCTCTGTTCGGAGCAAACAGAGCATAGCAGATGTCATTCAGTTACTCGTTCAACAAACATTTATTGAGCAAGGTGCTGGGGACACAGTGGTCTATAGGTTCCATTCATAAAGTAGGGGTTTGGTTTTGTTCTTCTAAATAAA